CCGACCAAAAAAGCCAATTTATCTTTTTTTAAAATACATTTATATATAACACTTTTTCCAGTCACTTCAACAGTCGACTCAACAACAAGAACAAATTGTTGACAGTAATATAGAAAGTGAAAAAATTATAGATATCAATACATCGACAACACTTACACAAGAAAGTGATATAGAGAAAATTATAAATATCAATACATCAACACATACACAAGATATTATACTGGATATAGAGACTTTATCAGAAATAAGTCAGCAAAATTCTGATAATGCTTCAGACAATGTCTCAAGTGTATTTAGCGGTAAGAATATATTGAAAAACATACACACATAATTTTTATAATATTTTCTTATTTTTATATTTAGTTTTTATAATTTTTTTATTACAAGTTAGGAAGTATTCTTATATCAAGTCTAAATGTATATATTTGAATTATTTAAGATATATAATACTCTATTAACTAATATGAAATAAAACTGTTTCTTGATTAGATGTACCATTTGAAAGTGAAAATTTATCGAAAAAACGACGTCTTGCTGATGATGAATATGTAAGAAAATTAAATATACAAAGTAAAATAAAAATATGTATTATATTTCTTTATTATATTATGTTTATTTTTTCAGAATCTTGAAGCTGTTTTAAGAAAATCAGATGACGGCTTGATAGTGCTAAATACATATAAAAAAGACAATAAATTAAATAATGATTTACGAAACAAAATTGCTAAAATAATTGTCAGTAATGAGCTAACACCGAACATAAACTGTAGTATTACCAGAAGCAGAGCATCATATTTGAGCGAACAAGTGAAAAAGTTATTTCCTACTGAAGAAAAAGTCAGTTTAAGACAATTACGGGGCATCTCACACGCACGCGCGCGCACGCACGCACACGCACACACACACACACACACACACACACACACACACACACGCACACACACGCACGCGCGCACGCACGCGCGCACGCGCACACGCGCACACGCGCACACACGCGCACACGCGCACACACACACACACACACACACACACACACACACACATACTTTTAGTATGTTTTTTGTAATTATTTTATAAATACTTGTTCTTGCAGAGTGTATGGTATATTAAAAATGAAAAAGGCGAGTCTCAAGGAAGGGGGAAAATTCTCACTAAATATTATTCAACCAGAAGAAAGCTTTTAAAAGCTGGATTACTAACTGTACCTGTAAAAACAATACCTGATATAACTGAAAATTGTAAGTTTCTGTATAAAGTTTGAATATATTGTACAAAATGAATTTAGTAACATTTATCAGCTATGTATGTTGTATTTGTNAAAATAAAAATTATTTGTAATTAAAGATTATCATTTATATATCTTTATCTNTTGTAGATGAGTTGAATAACGACGATGTTGCTAACTATGATGAATATTTATTATGGTTGAAAAACAATTCTAGGCCATGGCAAAAAGTCAGTGACTATTGGTCTTGGACTTCAAAAAAACGAGTTGGAGACCTTGTAACTCATAATCAGCCTTGCCACGAATATATGAATCAATTTNCAGCTCTTTCTGATCCATTATTTTACACGAGGACGAGACGAAGAGGAAAAGAAACGTTGTTCTGAAAAAGGTATTAGACGCCGAAGACGACCTTGGCGAACTGCTAACGAGACGGAAGACGTCCTTCGATTGTATGAGCTTCTATTCTTGCGCACCGGACACTCTTTCGTCTCTCTCTCTCTCTCTCTCTCTCTCTCTCTCTCTCTCTCTTCCCCCCATTTTTATGTTATTATCAACGGATCAACAATGTGACATAACGCGCGTAATAGCCGGGCCTTTCGACGGCGAAATTACTTCGGAGAGCTAAATCGATTTGTGAGAATTCTCGTGAGAGATCGAGAAAAAGTCTCACAGTTTGTTGCACTAAATTGCAACAAAATAAAAATATGAAAATATTAACTATTCACGGCTCGTCAAGTTTTTTTTATCTTGACAAGTCTCTCTGACGTAAATTCGGTTTTACCGATTTCGGAGTTCAAACGCATTTATCTCATTTGCGTTCTTATTATTGATAATAATAAGAGAGTTGATCAAAACATACACGCGCTTTGAATAAAACAAAAAAAAAACAATTATTCTCTCGTGTCCTGGCTTTAGAGCAGTTTGTTATTAACTTAAGAAACAGATAATAAAAACAGCGTGTTAGAACATAATATCGCGCTTTGAAAACCATTAGCCTTCTCACCCGATGGCGACGTGGCGGTAGGGTTAATTGTCTAAACGAGTCGCGATAAATAAATACACCATTACTCCCGTACTTATTTATCTGTCAACGAAAAAGCCTTTTTCTTTTATAAAAAAAAATCTAAGAAGTATATAAAAAATATAACAAACAAATAAAACAAAGATAGAACCAAGTTAAAAAAAATACAACAAAAATTGAATCCAAAGAAACAAAATATAAGTAAAAATAAGCGAGCGAGTGCGTTAATAAATAAAAGAAAACCATTTGAATAACGAGACTTTGTTAACCGTATGATTAACTTATCTTTAAATGAATTTAAACCTACGAAAAAAATTGAAAGCAAACACGAACGAACATTGTGAGACGATAACGGCCGCGCTAGTTCTTCGCCAAGTCTTCGAACGGCAACTTCCGCAGATGGCATCATCGCGTGTTAATCGGTATGTCGCTTTTTATATCGATACTGTAACGCTCAATTAGCATTGCCGCATTTAACGTAACAGACGCGTGTCGGCTTAGTATTAAACACTCGGAACAATCAGACTCGTCACAAAATGACGAAAAACTGTTTTAATTATATTTTAATTATATATTTTTAATAATACAAAGTTATTTTCAGATATTAAAAAAATTGAAAATATATTATAAAAAATAAAAAACGTTTTTTTTTCATAATATCGGTCGAACTGACGGATGTGCTAAGACTAAGCACGCATCCAAAACTCTGATTGTTCTAGCGTCTCGTTCTTTTTTTTCGAGTAGACAAAAGAGTTCGATTGCAATGAAGTCCCCGACAACTTCGTCGCCAGACACACAAGAAACATCTATCGCCTTGTTAAGAAGATGTTCCGTCGATGTTTTCTCTTTTATATTATCATATTTGAGAGAGGGAAAGAATATGAGTCTTGTAAAACTGCCTGAAATCACCACTTGCAATTACGTCAATTCAGACTGTTCGAACGACCTCGACCCGTTTCATTTTCTTCTTCACTTTCTTCTTCTTCTTCTTCTCCGTTTTCGCCGCACAGCCTCGACGATTATCATCGATCGCGCGAATTATTCTTCTCTCTTTATTTTTATTTTTTTCTTTTTTTTCAGCGCTCGAGAAAGTTATACTTTGATATTATATAAATGATTGCAAAAAAATCAACGCGGTGCGCGTGTAAAAATTCCTCCGAAGCGTTTTGGTCAAAATAAAGTCAATGTCGGTCAATAAATTTAATTTTTTTTCTTTGTCACATTTTACGAAATACAAACTGCGTTCCAATACCGGATAAAAATCTGTAATATACATCTGTGATGTGAACTAGATTTTTGTTGACTGACAAATAAACGCAGCCAAAGTCATGAGGCGCGTTCGATCAGGTAAAAAGTGCACACGTTTTCTTGGTTAGTCCGATGCGTGGCGCTAAAAGCTATATACGAGCGTGGCACGTGTCTGGCCCCAATACCGTTGCACCGAGCTGCACAATCATCCGTGTGCGCGCGACTTTCGAGGAACATCAAGGTCGTTACGTTATCGGATAGGTTTGTGAATCTGACAAAATACTCTTGCTGAAAATTTTACGATTTTTTTTCGATTTTTACTCGTGTTGCATAACCGGCATGTGTGACGTGCGTGCGCGAAATATAATTGGCGAAATAAGCAATATTTTCACTTGTTCATTGATGATGAGTCGCGAATTAGAAGTGTGTGCGCAACAATTAATCGGAAGCGATACAACGTCACCGTAATGCGACGATTGAGCAGATTAATTATCCGATGTGCGATTGCAATTTGATTACCAATCATTCACGATTGCGTTATTTTAAAACCAAAAAAACAAATTGCACAAGTCAGTTTTTAACGCGGATCTTGCTGATAACATAGTGACTTATATTGGTGACCTATATATTTGAACAGATGTCTTCTACGCACGGAGTAAAATTTGCCAAACGTGATCTACGTCAACTCGTCGCGTTCTATTTTTAAATGTTCGCTTTCTTCGGTATTTGTGTCTTTTAACACGCTCAACGTTCGGTACAAATCGGATATGTTTTCTCTGCGGAGTTCAAATTATTATTTTCGCGTTATATGTTAAATATCTTTGCAAATTTTGATTTACTTAAACGAGTGAAACCGTCACCCAGACATGAACGACATTGTTGCGTTTACAACGTGTGTTAATAGCGATCGCGCTTGTTTATATGTCCACGCTTTTTACTCGTATCTATGAAATAAACATTTTTATTTAATTTTTCGACAATTTTCTTTGTCGAAAACCAAATTTTCAAAGTTCTTGTTAAAGCGAGTAAAAGAATATTTACACTTCGTTTTGTTTTTGTTCTTTAATATGCGATAATAACTATTTCTCTTTGTAAATAGCACGATCTTTTTCGACGACAGAAGTCAAGAGTAAGAGGTTTGACATTTTCTTCTCTTGACATTTACATGTCGTTTTTTCACTACGTATCATGATGATCTATGAACTGTGACGTCAGAACTTTGCATTAAAAAAAAAAATATAAATAAAGAAAAAATAAGCACACGCGTCACGCGTCCAAACTCGTGCATACACAACGAGAAGACGGACTTTTTAATAGAAAACTACTGTATATCTGTGCTGTTTGCGCGATAAAATGACAACGAGCAGTATATCTACATCATTATATCCGCGTTTATATGTGTGCAAATTTTCTTTTAGACTTAATATTTGCGCCTAACAATAACTAAAAATAAAGTTGCATTTCAATGTGATTCGGTTGCTCGCAAAGTTTTAAACGAAATTTCAATCGGATAGTGAGAGATTAAAAGATTATGCGGCGAAACGAATGTGTTAAAATGTAATACATAAAATATAAGTAACGTTTATTTACATCTCTCGACCATGTCCTTGCTCCTTCTCGATATACATTTAGACGCTAAAATAAATTCAGAAAAAAACGAAGGTGCAAAATTAAAAGAAAATAAAGACGGAAAATTTAATTTTGCCAGTGTAAAAAAAAAAAAAAAAAAAAAAAAGAGGACACACTTTTGTTAACCTCGCGAGAGACGTTACTTGCTAATAACAATCTATCTTTGGTGGTAACAGTTATGTTATTGGTTGTTTCGCGTTGCAAAATATGGGTCACCGCCGATCGGTGTCTTGTTGCGAGACATTTTGTTTTGTTTTTTTGAACGCGTGAAAACTTGCGAGCGAACTTACTACTTACCTTCTTGCGTGCAGTTGAGCTGATAGGCGTTGCCGACGATGGGCAACGCTCTGGGATAGGGTATATCTTTCAGGTGATGCAAAAACTTCATTCGCGCCAACACCACAGGTAGAAATAGGACCAAACACAAGCACAAAAGGACGACGGTCGTCCAGCATCCGTCTTTTAGGGAGACTAATGCGCCAGACATGTTCAAGTCTTGGAATTTTCGACGCTCTTCCACGATACGGATCTCAACTTCTTCTCAAGGAAAGGAACAATGGAATCTGCAACGACAACATTCTTTTTTATTTTACATCTGTCGCGACAATTAGTATCTTGTGTAATAATATTCACGCAAATTGCGCACCTGAATACGCAAAATCAACTTCTAAACAAATCCACTCAAAAACCTTGTTAAGGACGCGA